AGAGTCAGACACTGAGCAACATACCAACGAAGAGGTTGAGTCCTGAAGGAAGATGGATTGAGGAGGTCTCACATCGATTGAAGGAGAGAACGAGTACCAACGAGAACGTTAGGATCAAATGATGAAGCTTTCTATTTTCTTTAAATATTCGAATATCATAATATTATTTTCCAAACAAGTAAGCTAAAAGATTCACACCACCACCATAAAATAAAATAAAATAATTATTTCACCATCAACGACATAAATTAACTATTAATTATTAATTATGAAGTTTAATAAGGAACATTAAATAAAATAAATAAATAAATAAAAGAAATCCGCTTAGCATAATATCTTCAGATCCATTGTGACAATTACGGATTTTGCCATATCCTTTTTGAAAGCATCAATTCTCCTAAATAATTTAATTAAAAATCTTCTTCTCTAACACTTTTTTTATTCCTAATGTCTTTTATAATATTTAATTATTTATTTTAAAATGTATTTCATTTTTTCAAGGTTAAATTTGAACGAGGGGTTAAAACGATATTTAATTATATGTCTTCTGTCATGTTAATTAAATTTTATAAAAATTTCAAAACACGGGCGTCCCTAAGCTCTCACAGTGTCAGTTTGACCTCTATTTTTTTATTTTGTTCCCTAAATTTTAAAAATTTTATTTTAATCTTTTAAAAACTAAAATTACAAATAGCTATTAGGCAATCAATGAAAATCTTACAATGTGTTAAACATTATTGAAAGAAACGAGCAAAAAAATAAAATAAAATAATAAATAATAATAATAATAATGATCGAAGGGCGAGGAATATAGAATTACAGTTTTAATGTAGTGGGCAGCGGGCAGCGGGCAAGCAAGGTTGGATTTGGGACAGAATCACGGGGGATTTCCCGCCGCCGATACCACCGGAACCGGAGGCGGAGGCGGTGTACCGAAGCAGCGGTAACGCAAATAGAAGTATCTATTCAATGCTTCTGTCGGATTCAAATCCTATAAATTATTATGATTTCATGTGTTAATATTATTTCTCCCTAAATAAAAACATCCAGACACATCCCGACATTTTATTTTATTCAAATAAATATATACTTTAACCGATGACACTATGTTATATATTTATTATATAGTTTTTGTGATATCCAAGAAAATTAAGGTGTCAGATCTCACATCGATTAGAGAGGAGAACGGACATTCTATTCTTTATAAGAGTGTGGAAACCTCTTTCTAGCAAATGTGTTTTAAAAATCTTGAGAGAAGCCCGAGGAGAACAATATCAGTTTGTAGTGGGTTTAGATTGTTACAAATGGTATCAGAGCTAGACACTGGCGATGTGTCAGCAAAGAAGTTGAGCCCTAAAGGAGGGTGGACACGAGACGGTGTGCCAGCAAGGACATTGGGCTCTAAAGAGGGGTGGATTGGGGGTCCTACATTGATTGAAGAATGAAACGAGTGTCAGAAAGAACGTTGGGTTTCGAAGGAGGGTGGATTGTGAGATCCTGCATAGTTGGGGAGGAGAATGAAACATTTTTTATAAGAGCGTGGAAACTTCTCCCTAGCAGACGTATTTTAAAAACCTTGAGGGGAAGTGGAGCAATCATGAGAATAAAATGTCTAAGAAAGACTTAAAGAAATAAAGTTACCAAGCACGTTTTGCTTGGAGTGATTTTATGTTTGGTGACCTCTGTGAATTTTCCTATGATGCATGTAAGCGAAAACAAAATTAAAAAGATTTGTGTTGGCTCTTAAAAGCAAAGATTAAATAAGGACTTTCTTAATATGCTCATTATTTAAACAGCCTGATAAGTCAACCCTGATCCTCCGCCAGAATAAATTTTTAATCAAAGAAATTAACGCTTCTTATACCAAATTTGGATCAACCAATAGATGAGGGTAGAACTAAATTACCTCTTACGATCAAAGATCTAGAAGCAACACAATCGAACTTGATCAAGATTTAATTGAATAACTCGGATGCAATTCTACCACAAAAATTGATTAAAACTTAGAAATGACAAAATTGATACTAGAATCTCAGATCTCAATTTCATTTATCCACAAATCTGATTTTTACATAACAATGGTGGGTATTTATAATCTATCGACAAAAAACTTTTGTGGCTGGAATTACCATTTAATCTCCTAAAATACGGACTTAATTTGACCATTTGAACCTTACATAATTTATGAGATTAAAAATAATAAAAATTTTCAAACATTGATATGTTTGAGTGTCTAATGGATAGATTTGAAATTTAGCCCGCTAAGTTCGAACCCTGTTCTTAACATTTTTTAATCTTAGGAAAATCATACAAATCAATCATAACGAATGTCATCATACTGAAATGTATAAATTATTCAAAACCTACCTATATTTATATCTTATAATTAAAATGTATAGAGTTAATTAATAGGCATAATTATCTAATTATTATAGCATCAAATATTGAAATCATAGCGTGGCCCTCTTAGCAAGAAAGGGCATTTTATTTTAGAGTTTCAAAAGCTATTCTATAATTAAAAGTGTAAATAAATAGTAACAAGTACATATCTTGGCATGCTTAATTATTAAATAGAGATGATGCATTCTTTCCATTAAAACTTTGATCTTATCTTATAATAAAGTTTACGAATCATATCAAAATATTTATATCTATATAGAAGTATCTTATAACAACAAATATTTGTTACGAACATAACAATATAATTTTTTTTTACCTTTGATAAAACTTTAGGTATTTGGTACTTTATATTAATAATTTATATTAAATGGATTATTTTTTTTATGGAGGGTCCCACGTGCATCTTAAATTTTATGTGGTTTAGGGGTTTTTTTTTAATTAGTGACGTCATAATCCATTCCCTAATCATTACTTCTTCCACTAAAACCAATGTTTAATTAACAAAAAAAATTAATTAAATTTAAAAAAATAAAGAAAGATATTTATTTATTTATGCGTGTTGACGAAATCTTAACGGCCCTTTTTTTTATTGGTTGGCTCCCCTCACCTAGTGCACTTTAGCAGCAGTCAAATGACAGACGTTTTTGGCCACCCCGAAAAACGAAATTAATAATAATAAATAATATGAAATTAAAGATATTTTATTTTTATTAATTTTTTATTTGTTTTGTAATGAACCCATTTGACAAAGTGTTGAAAGTCCAAGTAGTGGCCGGACCCGGAATTTCGAAGTGCGGGCTGTGTTGGGCCGGGTGGCGGGCCTTCCCAACCCGACAAATTCCGCCTTTGCCGGGTGCTACGTGGCACCCTTTGCATGCCATTTCAATGACATTTTTTTATTTTTAAATTGAATGTTGTTAAATTACACGTCATATATTTATTTATTTAAATTTAAATAATTGTTATTTTGGATTGTGGTGGAGCTGGCGGCCAGCAATGGGCCTCGCCGCCGCCGTCAAAACCAAAAAAAGGGATCCGAAGTTTAATTATGACCACTCATTGGGCGACGGAGGGTGGGGTTTTCAGAGTGGCTGTGGCTTTGGCGACTTGGCTTGAGCTGAGCCGTGGGAGATTATTAAGGAGTCGTTACTATCGGCTTAAGACTTGATCAGCGGCTTAGTATTTAAATTTTGTACCCAAAAAAATCTTAAAATTTCATTATTACCATTTAATATATAAAAATATGAAAATGTTTCCTTTGAAATTTTAATAAGCTTGTAGAAGAGAAGTTTGATCCAATTAATAAAAAATTTGATAAATAATTATTTATTTTAATATTTGGGAAATATTTCATTTATTTTGAATAAAATGAATTTAGAGAAAATAATTGGTTATTGAGGGGTGAGAAAATAGTAGTAAAGAAAAATTACTACGATTAAAATCAATAAAGAGTATGAATAATTCAACGAAGATGTAAAAGTCATTTTAAAATTTTAACGTAAGAATATAGTTAAACTTTTGGAATAGTTCGAGAAGAAAAGTTTGTAGTTTATAGATACGAAAATTTTTAAAAATAAAAAATATTAATGAATTTTAACATTTAAAAGGTCGTATATAATTTTTGAGTGTTGGAATATTATTGAATAAAGTTTATGTTCTTGGAAAAAATGACGTGACAGACGAACAAAAAAAAATTAATAGAGTTAAATTAATAAAAATATCTGTAAATTTTGTACTTTCTTTAAATATATTCATAAACTTTAAAAGGGTCGTTCTTTATTTGGAAAATAGCTTTGTACTTCCTTAAAAATATTTCTAATTATTTTTCAAAAAATAAAAAGTACTTTTAATACCATTAATACATAGTTCGAACCTTTTAATACCATTAGTGAATCATTAACATTCATTTTGGCAAAGAGCTCTCTCAATTTAATTGGTAAGTGGGTTGTTCAACAATTCGCCCCAATCCACTTCACGAGAGATAAGTCAAGCCAATCTCGAAGATAGGATAGAACGTCGACTAAGGCCAACCAAATAAGTGACCTTATTATTGGTTTGTTTAAAATTTGATGTTGTGTAATGGCGCATGCCCTGTGGAATCTTCATGTGTCATATGTTGGACGTGTGTAAAATATTTATAAAACGATATGATTATGATATGATAACTGTCATGATATGATGCGTTTGATGATATATTTGAGATATGATACGAGGAGGATAAGATATATGTTATAAAACGATATGACTATGATATGTTAAAATATATGTTATAATATGAGATGTGGATGATACATTATGTGAATGATATGATATGATGCGTCCGATGATATAATCGAGGTATGGTAAGTGAAGATAAGATATATATTATGAAATGATATAATTATCGTACATTATTTAAACATAAAATGAATTATTTTGTTTATAAAAAAATTGAATATCTAATACAAGAATTTAGGTTATTAAAAAAAAGAATTAAATAATTAAGTGAAAATATTATAAAGAATTAAATAATTATTAGTTCACAGGTCCTGCTTATGATTACAATTAGGGGTATAAATAGGCGCAATGGGCGTGGTTGATTCCCAACAATATCACCAATTTCTCCCCTTTCATTCACTATATAAATATATTTATTCTGAAACAAAAGCCGTTTCGAAACTCGCAGAACCTACGCTCTGTTTTGCAGCCTTTTCACTTTTCAGATTCTCTGGCAGTCGCCGCCGTGGGCCGCCGTTTTCGGGTTGATTTCTGGATTTCAGGTCATTTAAGGGTTCTTGAGGGGTTTCCTCTGTTTTCGAGATTTCTTGCTCTGTTTTTTAACTTCAAAATGGAGGTGAAGAAACAGATCTGTTTCATTTAAGGTGGGTTTTGATTTAATTTGATTATTATGAGATGGGTTTTGTCTTATATTTACTGTCTTGTTTGTGTTCATTCCCAACAGATCTGCAGAGATTTAGACGTTTAATTTAAAAAAAAAAATGTTGGGACAGAGACAAGCAGAGGAAGCCATTGTTCCGACCGCCGCAAATGAGGCGGAAAACAGCGGCGGAAAGGAGGAAGGAGAAGAAGAGAACTCTGTTTTCCAAATGAAAGACCTACTCTGGCACGGCGGCTCCGCCTGGGATGCCTGGTTTAGCTGTGCCTCAAATCAAGTAAAACCCCCCTCCCCCCCAAATTTGACCGGGAAACCGCCCATAATTGGCCGGAAAACCACTCTGAATGTTACCGCGTATCTGTTTTGCAGGTGGCTCAAGTGCTTTTAACACTGCCGTATTCATTTTCCCAGCTGGGAATGCTGTCCGGAATCATCTTCCAAATATTCTACGGGATGCTCGGAAGTTGGACGGCGTATTTGATAAGTGTTCTGTATATTGAATACAGAAGCCGGAAGGAGAAGGAGAACGTTAGCTTTAAAAACCATGTCATTCAGGTTCCGCCGCCATTAAAGCCTCCTTCCTCTTCTCCATTTTCCAATATGAAACGACGTCGTTGTTGTTGTGTTTGGTTTGGCAGTGGTTCGAAGTTCTTGATGGGCTTTTGGGACCTCAATGGAAGGCCGTGGGGCTCGCTTTCAACTGTACTTTCCTTCTCTTTGGATCTGTCATCCAGCTTATTGGATGCGCAAGGTAACCATATCAAAACCATAATTAAATTAAATTACAAGAATTAAATTAAATCTTTTTTTAATTTGTGATCCAGTAATATATATTACATCAATGACCACTTGGACAAAAGAACATGGACCTACATTTTCGGAGCATGCTGCGCCACCACTGTTTTCATCCCTTCCTTTCATAACTACCGGATTTGGTCCTTTCTCGGCCTTGGAATGACCACTTACACCGCCTGGTACTTGGCCGTCGCCGCCCTCGTCCACGGCCAGGTTTCTATCTCTCCGCCCCTCTCTCTCTCTGAACTTCTGCCTTCTCATTTCTCTCCGCTGCTGGTGCAGGTCGACGGTGTTATCCATTCCGGGCCGACAAAGCTGGTGCTCTACTTCACTGGCGCCACCAATATTCTTTACACATTCGGCGGCCACGCTGTCACCGTGTAAGCCCCCCCTCCTTTTCTTTTTTAATTATATATATTTTTTAAAGTCTTTAATTAATTAATTAATTTCTATTATTATTATTATTATTAAAGGGAAATAATGCACGCGATGTGGAAACCCCAGAAGTTCAAGGCTATTTACTTGATGGCCACGCTGTACGTTTTCACTTTAACGCTTCCGTCAGCTTCTGCCGTTTACTGGGCTTTTGGCGACGAGCTTCTCAACCATTCCAACGCTTTCTCTCTCCTCCCCAAGAACCGATACCGTGACGCCGCCGTTATCTTGATGCTCATTCACCAGGTTTTTTTTTTTTTTTTTTTTAATTTTTTAATTTAAATTTATTTATTTTTCAGTCTAATTATTTCTAATTAGCTTTCAAACTTTTAAAATATCACAAACTTTTTTTTTAAACAAAACTTTTATTTTTGTCAATTAAACATTTTAGGCGTGTTCCATATTTAGCTAAATTATTGATTATACTTTTTAATTATTAAATTATTGGATCTATAGTGAAATTATAGTTATAGTTATAATTTTATTTTTTATTAATTTACTTCATGGGTATTGGTCAATTTAATCGAGGAAATGACGCCAAAATCTAGGGGTGTTCAAAAAATTCGATGAACATATGGTTTGAACTTGAGTTAAAAATTTACAATTGGGTTAAGTTGGGTTCATTATTTATTTGAGTTAGTAATTGTATGGTTAGAAAAAGAAATATCCGCCGGGAGAAAATTTATGACCGGATCAATTGAACATGCAGTTCATAACGTTTGGGTTCGCGTGTACGCCGCTGTACTTTGTGTGGGAGAAAGTGATTGGAATGCACGACACAAAAAGCCTGTGTTTGAGGGCTCTTGTGAGGCTGCCTGTGGTTATTCCCATATGGTTTTTGGCTATTATTTTCCCTTTCTTTGGGCCAATCAACTCTGCCGTCGGCGCCCTTTTGGTCAGCTTCACCGTCTACATCATCCCCGCCGCCGCCCATATGCTCACTTACAGGAAGCCCTCAGCCAGACAGGTCCGCTCTTTCTCTTTCATTCTTCTTTCTCAACGCCATTTTGTTGTACTAATTATGGTTGATTTCCGGCAGAATGCGGCGGAGAAGCCGCCGTTCTTCCTCCCAAGCTGGACGGCTATGTACGTACTGAACAGCTTCATAGTGGTCTGGATTTTGGTCGTTGGGTTCGGGTTCGGCGGCTGGGCCAGCGTCACTAACTTCGTTCGACAGATCGACTCCTTCGGCCTCTTCGCCAAGTGCTACCAATGCAAGCCCTCCCTCGCCCCTCCGCCGACACATCGTCACTGACTCGCTCTATTCTGTAGAGGAAAAATAGTAATATTTTCCTCTTGAAAAAAAAAAAAAATTTAATTTTCATGTGTGTAACTCTCGGATTTTTGTTCTATTTTATTTAAATTTATCTATATTTTTTAGCATCGATAATTAATTATCTAAATTATATATAATATTTCGGCTACTCTGTATATAACCATCTACTTATATATATATTAAAAATAATAAAATAAAGAAAAGAAACATGGAGTGTGGGCTTTTAAACGGGTGTCGAAAAGTCCAATGGGCCGTTGGCCCAGAATCCAAATGAGTGGAGCCCACTTTATATAGCTACTTTCTTCCTTCTATCTTCATGAACGACATGTCGTTTTTATAAAGAGCGGTAATCTTATATCTTATCGGAGCTCCGAAAGTCCGGGCGGGTGAGGTATAAAAGAGAGAGAGAATCCGTCACGGTCTCCACTCGAAACTTATCTTCGTGATTCTCTCACAGACGCTCTCGTTCACTCTGCTTCATCTTCATCCGTCCATGGCTTCACTTCCTTTCGGACTTCTTCAGGCAACATTTCAATCTCCTACTCTTTCTCCTCGTTGTTTCTCCTTCTCCAAATCCGAAACCCTAGGAACCTCTCTGCGTACTTCTACTGGAACCTCTGCAACTTCCTCGCCTTCTTCAATTCCCGCCGGTATGCATTTGTTACCTTCTTTTGTACTGTTCACCTTCAATCGATTGATTTTTGTTCTATTTTTGCTTTTTTAGTGTATTGTGGCAGAGGCGATAAGAAGACGGAGAAAGGAAAGCGGTTCAAACACTCATTCGGAAATGTATTTGTCTTTACTCCCTCTTTTCTTTGTTCGTTCGACTTTCCTTTGTTCTCATTTGATTTTTTTGGGGAAAAACGTTCAGGCAAGGCCTCGGGACAAGACGAAAGGGAGAGGGACACCAAGAGTACCAACTCCACCTTCTCCGCCTAGAAAGGATAAGTTTGACGACGATGAGAAAATCAAGATCGAAATCGACGAGTCTCTTTTCTCTCGCTAGTCAAGGAGCAGCCTAGTTCTGTTTGTTTGTTTGAAATTTGTTTTCTAAATCCAGAAGGTACCTCCGCTTCTTATATTCGCAATATTTTTGTATGAATTCTTCAGTTGTTTGCTTTCTCAGTCTACTCGAAGTATGTACTCTCTCCCTTTCTCTTGCTTTTGACCTTTTCGGAGCTAAACTCCGACTATTGATGCTTCATAGGTGATCTTTGCGTCATTAGCAGGCAATTGTTGAAATATATGTTTGCTTCCTCCTCCATGTTATCGAAGGCACTAGAGTTGAGCTATTCTAGACCAACGTTAGATACAAAAAGAATCTACTAGCTCCTTTCTGGTTTTACGAATTTCTTTCCGATTGTTGCCGTTGTATGGAAGCGTCAATTGCTTGTTTATCTACAAAGTTTTAAGCGGACTTTGGGAAGATTTATCCAAAATTTTCTCTGTAATAGGCTAATACGGATCACTTACTTTAATGACTACATAACCGTAAAAATATAAGCTCCAATTGGAGCATTGTTCATCCGATGGTTGATCACTTCACTTCGCAATCATTGAACTAAAAACAAAAAAAAGTTACAGAAATATAGACAAAAAGTAGTTGCGTAGCGTCCTTGGATAGGCTGTTTTCTACTACAAAATAAACTATTTTTCTTAACTCAATTTCAGCCACCTATGTTGCCTTTTATTCTGAATGTTTTGGAGGTTCTACCGTCTCTCTACAAAGAGAGTTTCTCCTGATGTCAACCAAAGCCTTTTATTGTCAATGCCAAGGGTAACTGAAGAGGAGGAGGAAGAAGAAGAGGTACCTAGGTTTATTGGCCCAGAAGACCAAAAAGGAAGGAATCCGACAAATGCTTGAGTCCCAGTTAGTTACTCTTCTTCTGCATCTTCATGTTCTTCCTCCTCCTCCTCTGTATCATCTTCATGTTCCTCCTCCTCTGCATCATCTTTAAGAAGCAGTAGTTTAGTTTACTAGACTTGATGAAAGAAGGAAACACCTCTCTCAGTAGATTTATATGACATGAGTAGCTCAATAAGGGTTGGCAAAAGTCGATGACTGGGGTTATGGATTTAGGTCGTCCATTAAACTTTCTCAGGTTATGAGTAATCCTTGTTAGGTTATAAAAATTAAAATAAAAAAAAAATCAATGAAAATTTAGGAAAAAGCTTGCCTAGATGATCCTGACCTGTGTTGAGAACGGGTGATTTTGGAAAAAGAAAAAAAAAAAAAAAAACATACCATCCTTTTCCTTTCAGCATNTTTTGGAAAAAAAAAAAAAAAAAAAAAAACATACCATCCTTTTCCTTTCAGCATTAGATCCGGTCCGACTTTGGCAGTTGACCCGCTTTCAAAACTGTTTTGCTCTGCTGGATCATATTTCTTTTCATATTGCTCCTGTAATCCATCGTCAAATTTCCTGAAATAGCGCTATAATTAGAACAAACATAATACTAAGTGTTTTTTTTCTTCCCAAAATTTCATCATAATTCAATGATTAAAATGCCAATCACCAGCAAGAAAACAGAATGTTTTGTTTTTAACTTATTTTGATGTTTTTTTTTCTTGAATGTAAAGTGGAATTTGACCATTTATTATTCTCTTCTTCAAATTGTTCTGTTCTTTTTGTTATATAAAGGAATTTTTCCCACTAAAATTTGAATAATTAGGTTATTTTCACCTGCACAAATTTATAATAAAATAGTTGTAAGAGTGTTAATATTTTATTCACCGAAATAAAATAATAAAAATAAAGCTAAAAGACTATTTTGATGAGTAGGAGTGTAATGAGAGAAGGATTTAAATTATTAGTGTGAGCCTAAGGAGGGGAGGTAAAAAAAGAAGTAGAGACACTAATGGCCAACATTAAGGCTGTGATTGTAACAAAGGCAGTAAGAAATAGGGGCGCGACTGAACCCAATAATAAACATTTGCAGCCCATATTTCTCACACAAAAAAAAAAAAAAAAAAAAAAAAAAGATTAAAAGGTTATTCTTCACCTCAAGGCCGTTAGGAGGCACAGAAAGCTCCGGTTGCAGTGTACATTGTATAGGGTGGGAGGGGCCTGGGTTACAAAACAAAATCTGTCTCCAAAAATGAACATTACGTGTGTGGGGTTTGGGTGTTTTATTCAGTTCAAGTGATGGAATGCCCATTCTTCTGCCTCAAAGATCCTACTTCTTCTTCCTCTTCTTCTTCTTCCTCCTTTGATCGTTTACTGGGAAATGATCTATATATATAGTTAAACATGGTAAGAACAAAGCGAATTTAGTTCCCAAAAAAGAAAAGGAAACAAGAAAGCTTGGAAACAAATGGACAAAAAGGAATGTGTTAAAGGCTGTGTTACCTCGGGGAACCCTGGCGCTTCTGAACATTCTGTTGATTTGCCGAAACAGAGTTAGTAGTCTCAGGTTCATCAGAAGCCTGAAAGCATTTATGTCAGTTTCTGGAATAAAACTATGTTTCTATTCTCTTCAATTTTTTATTCAACTAATGTTCCTCCACAAACAAGATTGAGTTGAATCAAAGAGTTCATCTCAGATATTTCATAAACAGCAAAAAACAGAAATCAATCAAAATCCTTATATCCTCCACTAATCAAATCAAATCAAATGAACTCAACTACATGGGAGGCACTTGGATAAGGGGTAGAAACTGGGGATTNGGGGGGGGGGGGGGGGGGGGGGATTGACCACCGACCGAGCTCATACCTTTTTTTGGAACAACTTTGAGAGGCAGCTTGGGGAAAACATGAAGCCCAGCTCACTTTGCATTGCATTCAGTGTTTCGGTTTCGGTGTTCACATTTGGATGGCAATGAGATGAAGTAGAGGAAGGGGGGGAGGACGAGGAGGACGAGGAGGACGAGGAGGCGGAGGAGGAGGTTGTGAGAAGAGTAACACCCCCATCTGGAAATTACTTTCCTTCATACCCTTTATCCAAGCATCCACCTATGTTTTTGAACCACAAAAAACAAATCATCTATCTCTATCCAAATGGATTACTACTATTTCACACCTCCCACTTGCTTTCTTTCTTAACTTCTGGAGCTACATTGTCCCATAAGAATCCATTTTCGCCTCCAATCGAAAGCTTGTCGAGATCTGCGTCTACTCCGGGTCCCAAAAGAGGCTTCATATGTGCAGCATACTTATCTGAAATTCCATGAAGGTACAAAATATACGAGTTTTCGTAACCGTGGAGCAATATGTTAAAGGAATAAAAAGAATGCATTTGTACCTGCTAAATTGTGAAGTGCATTCTCCGCAGCTTGTTGTCGAGCATCTTTCCTCGTCTTACCCAATCCAACACCAATCTTCTCGCCAGTAAACAAAACCTGAACCGAACATTCAGAAACATGAAATTTGCAACATTCTAACACAATTTATGTCCACAATCTCTAGAAAATCGACAATCCACAAAGATTTTCCTTTTCTGATACAGGAAAATATTATTTGTTTTACTTTTAACGCTAAATGTAGCAAAAAGCAACTTAAATATAAAATATATATTCAATTTTGTTCATGTACAGTTGAAAATTTTCTATAACGAGCATTTTTTCACCAACCTCAACTGAAAATTGCAAATCCTTGCTGGTACTGACAACAGTTTTGAACTCCACCTACACAATGAGGCAAAGTGAGAAAAAACAAGGTGAGAAGCAAAAACCGTTTAAAAAACCGACACCCTGTACCTTTGAGCCGCATCTACGACCAATTTCTTGTAGAACTCCAATGTATAAAGAGGGCGGAGGTATAGTAACTTTCCCTGCTTCAGGTTGTTGAGATTCTTTGTTATTGCTAGATGCTCGATTTTGAGATATAGCACTTCCTGCCAAAGCTTCAGTCAAGTAAGACTACAAAAATTAAATAAGTCGAGATCGTGGAATATAAACTGGTAGAAGAAAACCTTGTGGATTATTGCTGAATGGGATCTGATGAGACCGATGTTTATCAGCTTTTGAAGCTTCGGATTCTTGAATAAATCCTGAAGATCGACTATTGTGATGTCCTTTACTAG